TATATATATATATATATATATATATATATATATATATATATATGCCATTTATGTATATTGCATCAATAATGAATAACAAATTTAATATATGATTCTATTAATTAGCCATTTTATATCAGGGTGAGTGTTTTTTTTTATCCCATTTGTTAATTATTTAAGAAAGTTAGTACATATGGTTTTATTGGCTTAATGTTGCTCACAATGGACATGTATATATAAAAGTAATACAACTCTTATTTTATGTTACAGCATGGAAGAGAAATACGAGCTGGAAGACGTAGGCTTGGAAGTACAGTAAGTGTAATATGTTTTTTAGGAAATTACTTGTGATTACTGTGAAGACAAGAATTTAACTTTATCCATTTTAAAGTATTTAATATGAAATGATTTCAGCTTAGTGTTTCACAGATTGTTAAGTGCACATGTTCTCAAGACATGGAAGAGTGTTCAGCAACATTTGAAAATGATTTAAAAGGGAATATCCATGTAAGATATCCATGTCATTAAATGTAGAAAATACTTTCCAGTTTCTGCCCTTGAAATATAAAGTGACCTTCAATGTGATACTTAGGCTTCTTCTTTTTTAATTAATTCAGTATATTTAGGAGGTATAATATTTTACATTGAAATGTTTCTTATAATTTTTTGATAAAATAAGGTAGACAGAAGAGTTAAGAGGTAGCATGGTTTTAGATGTTTCTTTGCTGGTTGCTATTATGATTCAATATGTATATATGTATGTGTGTGTGTGTATATATATATATATATATATATATATATATGTGTGTGTGTGTGTGTGTGTTCATTAATATTTCACTGTTTGTTCTTTTAGCGACCTTCTTTTTCTATTGTGTCATCTATGAATGAAAAGATTTCTTCCTTCATGCAGAATCCCTTACAGAATGAGTAAGTTCAGCCAATGATTTCTTCTTAGTGTGTTAAATTATTTGCACCAAATGACAGTTTAAATTACAGAAGCAAATCTATGACTAATCTAGTGAAAGAAAGTTCATGTATCATTAAACTACTTTGCTGTATCCAAAATGAGCAACATCAGGAACACTCGAAATTGGAGATTATAACCCTAACATGACCTTTCAGCACATTTCAGGTGACAAGTACACATTTCATATCAAATTTCAAAATTTCAAGAGATGGAGAAAATTTGTAGTTGAAACATTGAGAATAAAAAGATCCTGACATAGCATTCATAGTCTCATTATTCATTGTCAACATGAATAATACTTTTTTTAATATTCAAGAAGCTTTACTTGTGTATAATATATTTATAAATTTTTTGGGGATCACAAAGTATAGGTGTTATATTTCCAAAGGCTGCATTTTATACAAAATTTCATAAAATGTTTAAAACATTTAATTTTGGAATACAGCTTTTCATGTACATGGAATATTTTTTGCAAAATATAAAGCAATATTATAGGTTTGGGGATTCCCCAAAAAATTTAAATTAAAAGGGGTTTTCAGGTTACTAATGTTTGAGAACTGCTGTTGTAAGGAATTATATAATCTTAAAAATGTAATGATTTATGTCTTGTTTATCACATGATTTTTCTTCTCTATTATGGTTTTATTACTACAGCTCTTCATTTCCACCCTTTTATTATACCACAGAATGTAGTCTGTATATTTACTAATGGAACTCAGCATTGAAAATAGTTAGAGCCAATGGATAAATGTGATTGGATGAAGAAGGTTATAAACCCTCTACATCAGTGTAGGATAAATAAAGTGGTTTGAATAGTAATTTGTGATTTCTTGAGATACTGTTTACCTGGAGGACCGTAGGGGTTGAAAAAGGATTCTAATAAAAAGTTTGAACAAACCACTGATCTATGAATTTTTTTAGTTTGTTTAGATGTTTTTTTTTTTCATCCTTAAAAATGTTTTCAAATTAAATTATATTAGTTTGAAAACTTTGGAAATGTTTTACTGTGACAAGCCATCAGATAAGATAAGTTTAATGAGTAAGTAGAACTAGATCATTTGTAATTTGCTCTTTGATTACTAGACAAGCTTGTCAATCATTTACACATACTAATCAATTATTGCATCATGAGACTTATAATGCTAACAATTGGGTTTTGATACCCACAGTAGGCAGAGCATAGATAACTCATTATGTAGCTTTGTGCTTAACAAAATACATGATGGAAATTTATCAATTACTTGGATAGTTGTAACAATCGAAAATAGTAGTAATTGGAAACCTTAATTTCGATTAGTTGATTATTTTCATGAGTCATGACACTAATCAATTAACCCTAAGTATACAGTAGGTCAAAGTACACATTTCACAACCTTTTTTACAGAGTTATATTCAAAATTTGTTTGGGTTGCTTTATTACCAAAGTTTGTCAGTGAGTTTAGCTTCAAAGTGTAGTTTATAATTCAACTTCTGACATTATTTAATTTTCAATTTCTTAATTTCAAATGGAAATATTTAAATCAATTCTCATTTTTCACTTCTGTGTCATGTGATACATTGGTGCTCTGAATTGCTCGTCTTAGGTTTTCCTTCTACCCTTGTATGATTTTCTGAGTGTCCAACTGATTGGAAACAGGTACTACAGATACTACAAAGCAAGAATATAGACTTGCAACCTCTAATATTTTTGCTTTATTGAGATATAAAAAAATTGCCCACATTACACACTTATTCCATATTATTATTTTTAAACATTGTCAGTAATTCTCTGTGATATTGCTATTTGATTATTTATAACAGATATAAAGAGTAACCTATGGTGTACAAGATTCCTGATAGTTATATTATTTTGTCCCTTCAGTTTTATATTTTGCAATCGTTTTATTTCCTGAGCAGCTAACACAATTTTTTTTAAACCTATTTATAGCTTAGTTAGAAAGCCTGTTAAAGTTAGAGTAGTTTTGGGATATTCCATATTTTAGTGACTGATGTATATTTTTTGTATTCTAAAATGTGTATATGAAATTAACATTAATGTTTTGTGGAGTGTAAAAAAACTAGTTCTAAGAAAGTACACTATGGAGTACAAATTACTGAAATAGGATTCAACTCTAATATAAATCCAAAGTTAGATAAAAAAACAAAAGTAAATTAAAATAAAATTTTGCAAGATTAACTTGAGCTGAACTGCATTCCTCATGTTTTAAAACATAATTGTTTTTTTACACTAAGATCTCCTGCTATGATTTATTGCTTGTCACACACTTAGATAGGGTTTCATGGGTATTCTAAAGTAATAGTTAAAAATAAGCAGACTTAGAAAAGGTTAAGCGAGCTGAATAGCTGAAGCTGTGTTGATAAATAATTAGTCAATTTTACTTAGTTACAATTCTACCTAAGTAATTACTAGAAAA